TTAAAATTCCATTTTAGATCCAACCAAAATATTTTATGTTTATTAATTAGGTGCATCATTTGCAAGTTAATCAGCCTCATTTACTTTCCTTTATTTCTCCTTTTATTATTTTTATTTCCTTTCTTCTTCCTCTCTTTATAATTATTATCTTTTATGTAAAGCTAATTGCATTTTTTTTTTAAAACTAAAATAAGTTATATCTTATTCTTCCTCTAATTTCTATTCCTCATTATCATTTTTATTAGGATTCTCAGATTATGATCTTGGTTATTATTTAGTATCTTGTTTAACTTATACTTGTTCCTCTTACTTCTATTATTGTTATTATGTTTCTCTTTACAAAATTTCCAAATAATCTACCTTATCAACCTTCTATTTGAATATATTAAGTCTATGATTAATGGTTTCTAATGTTGGTAAAGTTTGCCCTCCTTAACTGTTTCTTATAACATCCTTTCCAAGTAATTTCCAACCATGTACAAATTACTGTTACTCTGATTTAGAAATTAAAGTTTGTCTATAAATAAATCCATTAACTTTACTTATGTTTATTTTATTCATTTTTTTCAGTATTTCCTTCATCTTTCTCTTCTTATTCGAATTTTATGGCTTCTTGTAATCCTGGATTTTCTGTAAAAAATTATGCCATTTGCTCTTTAAGATGGAAAATAGTGTTTGTATCAGTTTCAGCTTCTTCCTCTTCAATACTTGAATTGAAAGAATTATCACTATTCATTGAATCATCAGAAGAGAATACTATAGCTTCCTTTTATATTTGTATTTAAGATGCTCTTTTCATTAATATTATGTAATTTTATTATATAATAATATTAATACTATATGATAATATTAATAATAGTTTAGTAATGTATTATATATACATCTTTTTTTAATTAACATAGAGTATTTTGAATAATTACTTTCATATAATATAATCATAAAAATCCTAATTTTTTTACTTATTATTGTAATTTAATTAATATCTTTAAATAAGAATTAAATTAATATAATTATTTTACAAATAAATTACTCATTAAAAATATTGATATAAAATCAATTATAAATAGAGTCTCCTTCTTCTTATAAGATGGCATTCTTTCTCTTGCATTATCTATAAAGAGTGAAACCAATTGCAAATAAAATTGCCCAACCCCATGCAAATAATACATATTGCCAATCAAATCCATAAAATACTCCTACTCATAAATATTTAAATAGAACCTGGTTCTTAATATAAGACTTTTTAGGAATCACATGAGTCTTCGCAAGTATTACAACCACAAGGCTTTTTGATTTCAAATTGATATGGATCATAAAATTTACCATCAGCAGCCTTTTCAAATGTTTGATTACAATTATCAGTGTTAGGCATTAATAAAGAATTTTATTCTGAAAACTCAATAGCAATTAATTATAGAGATGAAGATCTAAATAATTACATCATATCATACACTCCTTATTCAGCCTAAAAGGTAAAGAATCCACCAGGAGTCTACATTGCACTGACTTGAGAAGCAAAATTTGTTCGTTTACAAGAAGAAAATACATCCTAATATAAATAATATATATCTTACACATGCTACTTAAGGATGTATACGTAAAGTTACAGTTTATACATCAATGGTTCTGTTGGGATTCCTTGGATCAGTGACATTTGCTCTACCAGTAATTTTAAGAAATTCTCCTTATCTTGGATCACATGAATAAGCACACCAAAATCTTTTCATATTAGCAGCACAACTATATTATATATATTGTTGATGTATACATATCACATCCATCACCATCACTTCCAAAGGTTGCATCTAATGAGACAAAATCATTTCCAATTCCTTCATCTTATGATTGAGTGCAACATACAGGAGATTTCTCATAGAATTTACAAGCACTCAATTTTTCATTAATCCAGGGTTCCTTATCTGTTTCTATGGGTTAGTTATTTTAATCTAATGTGTATCCGCATGGTATTCCATAAGTACTCTGCATTAATGCTAAAATCCATAACATATTTATATTATAATTAAATGAGTATATTAGATGTAATAATTTATGAATATGTCTTTTTTTTAAATTCAAAGAATTACTAATAAAATCCTATAATATAGAGAACTTTACATATAAGAATTCAAAATGAGAAAAAAAGAAGGGAATCTGTAATTTAAGGAAAGAGGAATGGAAATTCTGAAATAATAAAATATTGATAGAATAACTAAATAGTGGATTCTTATAAAATTTATATAATAAAATAGTTTTCTTATAATTTGGAATGTATTATTTTTATGAATTGAGTCATTAATATAATATATTGAAAACTTGACTGTTAATTAAATTTAATGTAAAACAATTCACCAATCAAAGGTCGACGTATTTCAAACCAGATTAAGTTGACAGGGAAAGTTCTAAAAAAGAAGACAGCTTCAGAAATAGAGATCGTAGGTCCTTCTGGAAGAGATATGGATACTAGTGTGGTTGCTAAAATTTAAATAATTTAGTATGAGAATCTGAAATCCCATATGTAACAATGCCAAAGTGAACTTAAAGTTGCAAAGAGTACAGAAAAGATTAAAAAAAAAAAGTCACTAGATCGTCATGCTGCTATCAAGAAGAGTCAGCAGTTATATAAGAAAAAAAAGAAATCTACAAAAATAAAGAAAAGTGTTAGTGCAGAAAGAGTTAAGAGTTAAACATTAGAGTTCTCATCTCCAGAATGTGTACGTCGTAAGAAAGCAGCCACTTTTTTTAATGAAAAACCTAATACTCTATAAGATCATCGTGAACGTTTAGGACTTAGTTTCTTAAATAAAATTGGCACTAAGCGAATCGATTAAATTTTAGAGCGTATTTAAGTGATTCTATAGAGTTAGGTAATAGAATGTCATCAATAGAACAATCACATCATCCTCCTCTTACTCCTGAAAAACATCGCTTTCCTCAATAATTAAAGCATTATATGAAAGAAAAAAAGAAGTTTTATTCATAATTAGAATCAATAAAATAATAATCAATGTTAGAAAAGAAAAAACATATTGATGAAAATCTACGTTCATTGGCAGAAATTGCAAAAAGAAATTCTCTTTCAAATAGCAGATCACCACCTAGAGATAGTACAAATAAAATAAGTGCAAAACCACTTATGTTAAGTTATGTGGCTAATCGTAAAAGTACTTCACGTAAATCAGGAGTTCCAAAATCTTTGAAAGAACAATTTAAATAATTGGAGGCTCGATATAAAACTTTAAAGAGTAATAGTGATGTTATATCATTGAGAGAATCTAGAAATTATGAACACGAAATGAAAGAATAAGCAGCCAAATGTATTTAAAGATGGTTTAAAGGATATAAAGCTAGAAAACTTTGGTAAAAGAAGAAATAAAAGAAATTATTAAAATTATAGTAATTGTAATAATTAAAAGATACTGAAATAGCAAGATGGGATAATTTAAAATCATTTTTATAAAATCTATAAATTAAGTAAGATATGGTTGTAATGGCAGATTTTATTGAAAGTTTAATTAAATATGCAGATTTCAATAAAGAAAATGTATTATCAAATAATATTGAATAACCTCAAATCAAATTAAAACCATAAAAATTGATTATTGAAAAAACTGAAGTGTTTCCTCCCTAAATTGGATAAATTCTATATCTAAGAGGTGAATTAATTAAAGAGAGAGAAAAGAAAGAAAAATAAATTTTGAAGGATCTTCTTGTTTAAGAACGTATCTCTCCTCGTTCTTTTGGTTTGAAAGAGTAAGAAATATAAAAATGGGGGGAAAAAGAAATGGAAGCATTAGAAAGCAGTAAATAAGCAATTAAAGCTGGTTGGTTTAAAGCTTATGAAACAATTTAAAAGACTCAAAAAGATTTAAGATTTGTTTAGAAATTAGGAGATGATCATTTTAGTAAGATGATGCCTGTAAGTGTTAGTTAAAGTAATCTATTGAAAAATTAACTTAATGATCTTAAAATTAATGTAATTATTATAAATGATTTATAGTTATTAAGGGTTAGCTATTCTGAAGAGAATCTTATTGATTAAAAGAAGAAACCACTTTAACATTCAGAATAGTTAGATATTTAAGAATAGCAATTAGTATCATACAATTCAAATTAATCAAATAAGACTCTATCATCATATATCCAAGGTCTAGAAGTAATATATTACCTAAGTAAGGGATGTTCCATTAGATATGGAAGAATAGGGATAAGTTGAAAATTTGCAGTATGTGTAGACTCATGTTGGTTATGTTAAACAATATTTAGAGGATATCAAATTAATAGTTAAAAATCAATATCAGAATCAATTTTTATAAATTATAAATCTGAGTATTGGTCCATCTCCATTTGAAATCTTGAGATTTTTTAGGCTAACTGAAGAAATGCTAGAATAATCTTTGGATGGTGGATTTATTCATTAAGCAGTTTTGAATTTGGAGATATTTTCAATAAAGGAGAAAGTTGGAGCAGATGATGTTTTAGTCAATGAAATGGAAAGAATACATAATAAAGCTATTTTTGATGCATTTAATGAAGCATTAGATTATCATAGGCCTTTTGGTATTAAGGGTAGACCATTACCTTGGAGAAAGAATGTGATATTTAGACAAGTAAGTTCTGTTGAAGATACACTTGAGAAATCTGCATTAAGAGTTGTACAATGGGCTGAAACTTTAAGTGGTATACTATTACCATAAGGTAGTTAAGTGGATAATGATATTTTACCATAAGTTAGAGAAGAAAGATTAGATAAGATGTTAAAGTAGGAAGTAAATTAGCTATTCAATATTTATAGATATTCGAAACAGATGATAGATGGTAAGAATTTGATGAAGAACATACTGAAGTAGCATTGGAGTTGAGTGAATTAATATTCAATCATCTCATTACTGAAGTAATTACTGAATTAAGAATTTGATATATTATTTTATATATAAATTATATCTCATTTAAATTTTATAATAATATATATATATATATAAGAATTAATTAAATGTTATTCATCAAAAAGGATTATTGCTATTTTTATTATTTTCATTAATCATAAATAATTTAGGTGTTATAAAAGTACCTTGACTGACAGGAAGTTTGAAGTTCTTCTTTATAATATCTTATTTTAAAATAGCTTTTTATTAAGGTTTTAAACCAGTAAATTTTATGTTTCTGATAGTATCATCAGCTAAAAGAGTTGTTGAATGCTCTTTTTTTAAAATTCTTTTCATACCTGAAGATTTTTCACTTTTTAATCTAATAAGTTCTGTTTTTTGTTCTAAAATTTTAGTATCTGATTTTTATTCTAAAGTTCTTAATGTATATTCTGATTTTATTTCTGGTTTTTCAATTCTTTTAAATGATTATTATTATTATTATTATTATTATTATTATTATTATTATTATTATTATTATTATTATTATATCTTTTTTATATCTAATTATATTTTATAATTTTACTTGCTCCTGTAGATTCTTAATATAATATTCCTGCATACTCTATAAATTTATCATATTCTTCCTCATATTATTCTAAAGGATAGACTTTTTCAAAATTTCCAATATTCTAATTTTCATATTAATCTCTAATTTCTTAACATTATTTTATTAACTTTTATTTTTCTTCTAATGTTAATTTAGTTGGTTTATTTGTCAACATTCTTTATTAAAGTATTTATCTTTCTTAATTTATAATTTCCTATTTAGCCTTTTGAGTACAATTCATTAAAATCAAAGACTATGAAATCAATTATCTTTTTATGGTTGCATCTAATGGAGTATCAGTTGTAAAACTAGGTGAATGATTAACTTCTAATAAATAAGGTTTTAATTTATGATCCAATATAACATCCATACCTAAAACTTCAAAACACATATTATTCATATGATTATTTGGTTAACAAGATTTATATTAATGAGCTAAAATAGGTTATACAGCACAAAATGTCTTAATCATCATTTTTTTAATTGTATTCCATAATTAATCAACATTCTCACCTCTACTTTTTAGCAATTCAAAAACACTAGTCATACTTCTCTTATGTCCAACATCCATTTATTTATCACTCTAATTAAATACAAAATTTTCATTATCCTTATTAACAGCATAATTTGTTAAATGCATACAAATATTATCCAAATTATCTTTACCAGGTTTCTTGTATTACTCAGTTGCAAATCTAGCTAAACCTTCTTTAAAAATATATATTCTTAAAGGATCACAACCAGCTAATAATACATAAATTCTAAGATCGAACTTTAAACCATCAATTAAATAAGGTTTGCTCAAATATCTTTAAGCAACATAATGTTCATGAATCGAAAGACCTTCAGCATCCTTAACTAACATTATTCCCTTCCCTTAACATGAAGCTTGAGGTTTTATAATAAAGGTTCTATTCTTGCCAATATTTGCTCTAAAATCACTTAATTCTGCTGGCAATAACCAAGTGTAAGGGAAGTAATTATATGCTTAAGGAAACTATTTATGCATCTTCATGAGGTTCCTTCCCAAATGGTTTTTACGAGCTAAGGTATACATTCCAGGGAAATGATTAACTTTTTAATGGGCTAAATAGTTTTATTGATTAATTACCATTCATTCTCCCTAAAAGATCAGAAAAGACTGCTCCATCAGTCCACCATACATCCCAATTGGTTGCATTCTCTTCTTTCTAAATCTTCCAATTTAACATCTTTTTACCAACATATCTAATCACAGGGTATTAAGAACCTATAAGAAGATATATAGATAATTTGTACTAGAAACATTTATTATTAATTTCTCTTTGCTTTTCTTAACCTTATTTTTTGGTTTGGTTACCTCTAGTTATGTTTAACTATCGTCTTATTACATAGTATAAATAATTAATAAATAAAATTCATAACAATTATTAATAAGTAGATATTAATAATCTATTTTTGAAACTCTCATAGATTCTTTCCCCTAATTCCTGATGCAATCCAAAAATTAATAAACTAATAAAAATATATTAATTTAATTAGAGATGCTCATGAAATTTTATTCTATATCAATTTTAGACTATAGATTTAATTACAATTCTAATATTCTTTTATCTTTAGTCTCCCAATCTTAATAGAGCATTCTCCCATTATTCCTTTACATTCTATTAAATGTTATTAATCTTCTCACTTCTCTCTGTCTACAATTAATTCTTAATTTCACTTGAATATCGAAGAGACAAACCCTTTATTTCCTTTAATTTTAATTCATTTAAAAATTATTGATACTCCTTATCCTTAGTATTACTTGCTATTAATCGATAAAATTTTCTTAACATTTAATTTAAATATCGTCCTATTTATTTCTAATTCTTTTATTTGAACCAAGATTTTTCTATATATATAATTTCAAAAATTCTGGAATTCTCTATTTATTAATTGAATAACAAGTTTATTTATACTTTTGTATAACAAAGAATTAACGTTTATCAAATATTACTTAAAATGTCAATTAGTTAAACATATTTATGTTACATTAAGTTTCAGTCAAAAAAACAATTAGAAATGTTCCTATATATTTTTATTAATTTGAATAGGAATTCAAAATAATTTAAGATAATAAATCATTTTTACTATACAAGTGATAGATTACTATAACCAATTTAATTTAAATCTTCAATCAATTTACTGACAAATTACTTAAGTGATTTAATAGATTGTCTCATTGTAATTTCTATACTTTTATTCAAATTATCTTATTAAGTTCTTTTTAATATTGATTATATAGATAATGACTTCTACTTGATTTCTAATTTGATTCCATGTTATTGATGATAAGATGCTGATTTTATATTTTTCCTCATGAACTACTTCTATAAAATATTTATGTGTTAATTCGATTGTAGACATCCTTCTCAAATAAATTCATCTTGCAAGATTAACACCAAATATAATTCCTTTCAATTTGATATATATTAAATAAAGGATTCAGACTCTGTTTCAATATACTTGAGTCATTTAAAGTAGTTATTAATTTGTTGCCGTTAGAGCTCCTTGATGTATTTAATGAGTCTTATCTCCTTCTCATTGTATTATTAAATGGTTAAATTTTATTCTTAAAGTTAAACAAATAATCATTTTAAATAATAGACAATTTACAAAAATAATTTTATACATATTTTTACACCACATTACTATACAAACTAATTTTCATTAGATGATAATTCACATAGTGAATTGCTATTCATCCTTATATGATTATAATATAATAATAATAAAGTCATTCTAAATTGAAATAGCTCATTGAATCTCTAATATATCTTATAAAAATTAATGATCAAAATTGTTTATTAAAAAAGTACATTTTGATATTCTAAAAATATTTTAAATTTAGTTTAATATAAAATTCTACATATACTTTAGAGATTCTGATTTCTATAATAAAGAATACAATATATTATTTTAAAAAACACAATATTTAACAATTCAATCTTGACATATTTTCTATTTCATATAACATACTTAAATAAAATTAAGAATGATCTTTATTTATTGGTTAACTCTTATTTAAAACACTTTTGCAGAGTCAGCCACTCTGAATGTTTCGAATGCTGCTTGTTCATGCACATAACTTTTAACTGAGAATGAATGTAGAGAACGAAAATGCTATTGGAGCAATAATACATGTTCCACTTTAACAATAAAACCAACTAATTATTGCGATTTGATAGGAATTGAAGTATGTATGAATACACCAGGTTGTGCTAATGTTTCTGAGAAATGTGTTTCTTTTTCAGGATGCAGTGCCTACTAATACCCAACAAATGAAATATGTTAAAACATTTCAATGAATTGTACAACAGATGGAGAATAGTGTATAGAATTAGATTAGTGTAGTAGTTACACAAATTAGGTTAGTTGTGTAAAGGATGACAATGGAAAATTTTGTTATTGGAATATTGAAAAACGAGTATGTTAATTACCAACAACTTGTGATGTATTGCCAAGTACTTTGAATTCTGATGCTTTATGTAGATTCTAGATTAATAGTTGTACAATGAAATAAGGTGGTGGATGTGAGGCTAGTGGAGATAAATGTGAAAATTAAAAATTTGAGGGAGCATGTATTACAAGTTTAGATTAAAAAATATAGTGTATATGGGATTAAAATTAATGTAAAGATAAAACTTGTTTAAATTCTCCTTAAAGTAATATAACACATGAATTATGTACATTATATTTATCTACATGTACAGTAAATGATACTTTAAATGGATGTCTAGATTAATAAATGTTATGTTCATCATATAAGATTTAGAATAATTGTATTATTAATAGTGTTGGTTAAAATTGTTATTGGAATAAAAACAATTAAAAATGTGAAGATAAAAATTGTGATAATGCAACTGATGATTATTAGAATCATGATTTATGTTAATAGTGGTTAAATACTTGTACTGTTAAATCTAGTGGAATAGGTTGTTAGACTAAATTAAATGATTGTACAAAATATACTACTTCTAATTAATGTATTTAGACATTAATTGGAGATGAATGTTTTTGGAATGAAACTAAATGTTTATTAAAATCATGTGAGAATGCACCTTCAACAAATATTAATCATGATATGTGTACTTAATATTCACAAATATGTACTGTATAAATTGATTTAACTGGATGTTAAAAGAGAAAAACTTCTTGTTCTCTCTATACAAAAGTAGAATAATGTGTATAATAATTGGATGGTAAGTTATGTATATTTTAGAATGATTTATGTATAGAGAGAATATGTAGTAATGCTTCTGAAGATTTTACAAATGAATAAGAATGTAAAGGATTTTCATCTACTTGTATGGTCAAATCTAATTATAAAGGTTGTATTTTATAAGAATGCAAAAACATTTAAATAAAAGATAATTGTACATTAGATTATTAAAATAAATAATGTTATTATGGATAATAATGTTAATAAAGAACTTGTTTTAATGCTCCATTGACTTATAAAACAGATAAAGAATGTAGATCATATTTAAATGAGTGTACAGTCAATTAAGAACTTAAAGGATGTATTGAGAGACCATTATCATGTGATAAATTGAATGAATAATAATGTACTATATTAAGTGATAATGTGACAAAATGTAGTTGGAATGATGATAATGAGAATAATAAAGTATGTAGAATCTTGAATTGTTCAGATATTACACCAGGAACATAAACAAATGAAACTTGTACTACTTTTGATCCATCTTGTACAGTAGCTGAAAATCCAAGTATATGTATGACAAAACCATTGGGTTGTTCATTAATATTAAATAAATAACATTGTTTTGCAGTAGTATTAACAGATATGCAATCAACTTGTAGTTGGGATAATGATAATTCAATATGTAGAGATCGTTAATGTTCAGATGCTAATTAAATATTAAAGACAGAAGATGAATGTAGAAATTACTTACCTATATGTACACTAAGTTCAACAGGATCTGGATGTGTAAATGAACCAATATCATGTAAAGGATACAGAACTAAAGATGTATGTAAAAGTTTAGTATCTGATCCAAATAATATAATTTTATGTGGTTGGAATGGTTGTGAAGATAGAACTTGTTTTAATGCACCTATTTTGAATTTAGGATAATTATATACACATTCATCATGTAATTCTTATTTAAATTCATGTACTTTAAATGCTAATTAAACTGGTTGTGTTAATTAATTTACAACTTGTGATTAAATTAAAAGTTAATTTTAATGTGGAGATACAATCTTAGTAAGTGGATCTAGATGTTATTATGATGTATCAACTGAGAATTATTTCTGTAGAGATTTCAAATGTACTGATGAAACATCTTCATTAATGACTCATGTTAAATGCTAGAACTTAAGTAATCAATGTACTCTTGCTGAAAGTGGTATGGGTTGTGTAGATATATTAAGTTCTTGTTCAGAAATTAAAGATATGATATAATGTGAAGGAACTATTTTAACCTTTAATCGTTAATGCAGTTGGGATACAAACCCTTCTGAAAATTCAATTCCAATTTGTAAAGATAGAGCATGTAAATACAGTCCATATAAAGGCAATGCTGTTAGTTGTGAAAACTACTTATCCTCTTGTACTTTAGGTGATCCTGATTTAGGATGTATTGAAAAACCCTCAACTTGTAATGGTCTTAATTAAAAATAATGCAATAATGTAAAATTAATTGATGGAACTTATTGCTCATTTGATAGTACTATTGTTAATGAGTTATTATAATGCCATACTAGAATTTGTGCTGATGCTCCTACTAATTATCATACTGATGCTAATTGCAGAACATGGTTACCTAATTGCACAGTAAAATCTAATGAAGCTGGTTGTATTGATGAACCTACAGATTGTAATTTAATGACAAAATCATAATGCTTCATTTCCAATGGAATAACTTGCTTCTGGAATGGCAATGCTAATCCTGCCAATTGCAGAGTAGCTCTATGTACTGATGCAAATAAAAGTTTGTATACAAGTGATGCTTTATGTAAAAGTTATAGAGCTGATTGTACAGTTGCAAAGGCTAATGGATGCATTACATAACCAACTTCTTGTGCTTCTTTGGATTAAGAACATTGTCCTAAAATAACAATCAATTCTACAAATAAGGAGACTAGTGAATATAAATGCAGTTGGAATCTATCTATTTCAGCATGTTAAGATAGAGTTTGTACTGATGCACCCATTACAATCAATACAGAAGAAGGATGTAGAAGTTGGCTTAAGACTTGTACTCTTGGATTAACAAATTAAGGATGTATGATTGAATAGACAACATGTGATTTAGTATAAACATAGAATTAATGTTAAGTATTATCTAATGGTACTAAATGTGGATGGAATACAGGTTGTGTAAATAGAACATGTTCCAATGCTCCTGATACTTATACAACTGATTAATAATGCAGAGACTATCTTTCAAATTGTACTGTTTAAGCAGATGGAACTGGATGTGTTATATAAGCATCTAAATGTATTGATATTTTAGTAGATAAACAATGCATTAAAATTAATGATACTAAATTATGTCAATGGAATTCAATTAAATTAAAATGTGAAGATAGAATATGTAATAATGCTCCTCTTACATTAATAAATCATTAAATGTGTCAAGATTTCTTAATTACTTGTACAGTTAAAGCAACTGGAGCTGGTTGTTAAACTCTATTTGATAAATGTTCTACTTATACAATTAATAAACATTGTATATTAACAACAAACAATACTAGTTGTCAATGGGTTATGATTTCAGGAATAGGTTAATGTGTAGATATTTATGATGCATGTTCATCCTATACTTTTGAAGCTGCTTGCACTAAATAAAAGGATTCAACTAAATGTATTTGGTTAAATGGATCCTGTTATAATAGAGAATGTTAACATGCACCCAAATCCTATTCTACTCATCAGTAATGTCAAGATTATGGAAATTGTACTACTAATGGATAAGGTTGTATAAATTATATACCATGTGATTAATATAAATATGCAGCTTCTTGTATTTAAGGACTCAATGGAAAATGTACACTTGTTAATTAATGTTAAAATATTAGTTGTGATTTAGCCCCTATTACATATAAGACTCATAATGAATGTCAATCATTTCTTTCTACATGTACTACTAATGGAAATGGTTGTATTGAAATCAAGAGATGTTAAGATGTTTATGTTGAAGAAGCCTGTAAAATAAATACAAATAAAAAAGAGTGTGCTTGGGTCAATGGAATGTGTTATGATAAAAGTTGTGATACTGCTGATAAATCTATTTTATCAGAAAAAGGATGTAATGAATATTATCCTGAAGGCAAATGTACAACTAAAAAAGGAGGAGGTTGTATTACAAAAGGCAAGTGTAAAGATGCATAAGTAGAATAAGCTTGTATCACATAATTTGATGGATAGAAATGTTCATGGTAAAATGGAATTTGTTAATTGAGATCATGCACAGACATATTGGGTTATGATTATAAAACATGTAATACTGCTTAATCTGATTGTACAACAGATGGATATCAATGTACAATTATGAAAACATGTTCAAATACTTTGATTCAATAAGCTTGTATAATGGGAACAGATGGACCATGTAGATGGAGTTAAGAGAAATGTTATAGATATACAAAATGTACAGATCTCATTTATACAACTCATTTGTAATGCAACACTATCCATCCTTAATGTACTACAAATGGATATAATTGTGTTGCTATTACAAAATGTTCTAAAACACTTAAAGTTGGTTGTTTTATAGGTATCAATAATAATTCAATTGGATAATGTATTTGGACACCAACTAATGTTAAAACATCAGCTTCTTATCAATGCATTGATTTTAATGAATGTAGAAATGCTTTATATTTAAATCATGATGATTGTTATTACTATTCTCTTGGTTAATGTACAAGTGATGGTTTTAGTGGTTGTATTTAATTGGATAATTGTACAAATTATACTATAGAATCTGCATGTTATATTGATAAAGCTGGTAAAATAATAAATTCATCTGGAGCTATAATATCAACAGGAAAATGCAAATGGTCATCTGGGAAATGTATTATTTAAGGATGTTCTGATATTTAAGGATTTAATCATCATGATTGTAATAGTTAATTAAGTACATGTACTTATAATGGAAAGAATTGTGTTGTGTAAGGTACATGCAATAGTTATATAACAAGGGATTCCTGTATAGTTGCTACAGGTATAGATGGGAAATGTTATTGGGATAATAATATATGTATAGCTATGAAATGTGAAGATTATCCTGTCAGTTTATGTTCACTCTATTCATCTACTTGCATTTAAGATGGATCAACATGTGTTTCACTTAAAGATTGTTCATTATATAAAACTTAAAGTGCTTGTGATTATGGTAGTCCAACAAGTATCTGTGCTTGGATTGTAACATCTGTTAATAATAAAGGTAAATGTATTGAAGTAACTACATGTACTGTAGCAACTGTCTATGAAAAAGCATGTAGAAAATTATCTGAAAGATGTTATTGGTAAGCTATTACAGTTGCTAATTAAATTGAATATATATGTTCTACTAAGACTTGTGAAATACAAAGTGATTCAACTTGTACAGGATTTTATGATTGGTCTCTTAAAAAATATACTGTATGTTAATTCAATCCTCAAGGTAAATGTGTATCTATTGATCCTACAAGTTTGAATTAAAATGATTGTCCAACATCGACCTTATATTAATATTCATGGAATCCAACAAAAAATAAATGTTCAATTTGTAATACAGTTTAGACAAATAATTCTACTTAATAGAACTAATCAAATGCTGCTGATAGTAGTTCAAAATTCATCATATCGATTATAGTTATTCTTCTTGGTTTAATAATTTGATTATCGATATTAATATATATATATATATCATCTATAATAAGTTTATCCTAAATATTATGAGGGTGATTTCTATATTATAACTCTACTATCCATGGGTAAGATTCGACTTTGGGGTAGCATCTAAGTTTGAGGGATGGCTTATTATCTAACCATTTTAAAAATGCCTTTTGGTTTTTATTATTACAATTATTATTATTATTACAATTATTATTATTATTATTGCTGTTATTATAGTAATTTCTCATAATTTAATAGTTATTTCAAAAATCCTGTATTAGGATTAACCTATCTTCTCTTTGATTTCAATTTCCATAAAGCTTTTTCTATATTCAAATTGTATTTTTTCATCAAATAAGCAACTACAATAGTAGGTGATCTACTGATTCCTAGAAAACAATGAACCAATATATTAGTATGTTTCCTATGTCTCTCAATAAAATCAAATGTTTAATCTGCAAATTACAATATATTATAATCATCCTTATCATGTGCTTATACTACATGATGAAATTAAACCACCAAATCACTATATTAAACAGCTGTCTCTTAACTTGCAGTTAATACTGCTCTGATTTTCAATCTCTTAAGCATTTCTAAATCCTTTGCTCCTTCATAACCTCCAACATATATTCCTCCCTCTTCATTAGCTAATAAGATATCCAAATTAAATTATACTTGGTTCAATAATACAAGTAATGGGATCAGGATCAACTATTTATGGTACTGAGTAAACAAACTTTAATTCCTCTAATGGGATTGTTGTCAATACTATGCTTCTAGAAAAAGCATCTGATGTTAGAGACATTAATAATAAATATTTTAAATTCTTTTGAATGTTATATAATTTATAAATACAAATATAAATACTCGATTATTCAAATTTTTTAAGGATAAACTTTGCTTTTATATTGTGCTCTAGAAAATATAGTTTTCTCTTTAATTATTATACTTTTTTATTTTTAAATTCCTTATTCTAAATCTTCTTGTTTTTCCTTTTACTTTTGATCAATTTATTATCTATTTTTTTTCTCTCTTGATTCTATTATTTTCTTTTTTACTAATGAGTAAGTATTATATAACTCAATAAAAATAAAGATTATTAAAACACTAACTAATATAGACATTTATATCCAACCAATAATAATTCTTTAACTATATAGAAGATATTAAGAAACAATATTCCAATTTACAAATGTTGAAGCAGTAAAAATGGTTAATGAAGTTTCCATTACAATAGTTTTGACATATTCTAAATTATCATCAATATACTTGAAATTGATAATGTATACTAAGTAAAATGCATTAATCAAAGTTAGAATCAATGTTTAAAGTTCTTATTCATATTAATAGAATACTAATATATAGAGAATCAGAAACTTTTTAGTTACTTGAAAGATATCTCTTTTTTATTACCAAAATTAATGAAAGTTTTGTTTTTTCCAAGATTTCAATCCTTCTACTTAATTTAATAGAATAATTATTGTTGTTATTAGAATTGAAATAGCAATCAAAATACAAACCCATGATCTTGGAGATTCAAAATAATGAGTAGCTTTTAATTCCAATAATGCCATAAATATTAGATCCCAAGTACAAGCACGTAAAGTATTTTTTAAACCATTTCCTTTAGCATCTTTCATTTTAGCATTTACTTTTTGTTTTATTTTTTAAATTAATCTAATTAATTTAGGTTATTTTGATAAGAATTCTGATAGTTCCAATTTTTATAAAATCTTAACTCCATATGAAGTACCTATGTAAATACCAAATAGAGTGGCAAAGATGAATAATTCAGCTCTAAATCCTTCTGCAATATCAGCGTTGATTTCATAAAACTCAAACTTTTCATAAGATTACAAATAAGGAAATTAAAGTAATTTTCCTTCATTTTTATAAAGTGTAATAGTATCTAAAGCTGGTTAAACTGATACCACTTTACTTGATGAAAAATAAATTATTAATGTTTAGGGATATAAAACATTAATAAATTTAAGATATGATTATTCTTAAAGAGCATCCAATATACCCCAAAAAGAAAGGGCATTTCCTAATAACATAAGTAAAATGGTTAGCAGACATAATGATTAAACTGAAACTTCATTTATTTATTAAAAAGTACTAGCTATTTATATCTATTCTTCAGTAATATAATTTGGTTACTTTAATTACAAATAATCAATCATAAATATCAAAGACGCTTAATTATCATTATATAATTGTTCAGTTAACTTTATTTCTAAGATAGGATAATAATCAAGACTCTAAAATATTTCAATTTACATCACATATTATACTTCAGATGTTTTATTAAATAGAGCTGGTTAAACTTCCATAATTGTGATGTTAAAGAGAGTTTCATTTATATCCATAATTGATGCATTGATGGTATCTATATAATTGATATTTGATAATGTTTATACAGGTTAAGAGAATGTAATTTTAATATATTGATATTAATTTTTCTACATTAGATATTCAGAAATAAGAGTAGGATATTTAACATAATTACAAACATCATCTTATTTACAAATCCAATTAATTTCAACAAAACAATTAGATGAACAACCATCTCCATCATTTTAATTTCCATCATCACATTATTCTAAATTAGATAAGACTCCATCACCACAAATATTTGTACACATATTTTCATACAATATATATCCAATATCACACATTAAACATTATCCATTTATACAATCATTACAATATAGAGGACATGAATATTAACATTAATAACATCCATCATAATTAATTTTATTATTATCCTCACATTATTCAGTTCCTGCTATTATTAAATCACCACAAATTGTAATGCATTCATTATTAATCAATTAATAACCATATTAACATGAATCTAAACAGATACCTTTTTAACAATCTTAACAATTTAATGGACATGAAAATTAACATCCAAAACATCCATCAAATTCTATTTCATTACCATCATCACATTCTTCATCTTCTTAAACAATCATATCTCCACATATATTTATACATGTATTATTTATTAAATAATAAGATTATCTACATTAATAACAATATCCAAATCTACAATCTAAACAAAAAGGATTACAGGTACATTCATCAAGAGAATATAATGCTAAACTATTATTACCACAAATTTCTTAACACTCTCCTAATACAAGATTATGTCCATATTAACATTTATAACAAACACTATCAATACAAACTTCACATTAAGTTTAACATAAATTTATTGTCTATTTAATACATTAATTATTTTATAAATAATAATCTTATTAACATACTTAACAAACACCAAATTCACATTAATCACAAAAGTTTGGACAAATGAATTTACACTAAATACAATTTTATCCATCACATTCCTCTTTAATTGTTACTATATTATCTCCACAAATTGATTAACAATCATTACTCTCTTATTTTAATTAATATCCTTTTTAACATTAAATGCATATTCCTTTTAAACATTCTTAACAACCTTCAATATAATCATAACAAATTGTATCAGATTTAGCAATAATTTAAATATCAGAATTAATATAAGATATTTTTTCACAAGTTGAAGCATATCTTAAATATAACCATCCAGAATAGCAGCCTAAGCAAATACCTTTATGACATAATGAACATCCATCTACACAAGAAAAAACGCAATTGAAACATCCATCGAAAGGATCCAAATTCCCATCATCGCATTCTTCATTTTCTTGAATAATTGTATCTCCACATATTGATTATTCTATTTATGGTATGAATTATTTACACACAAAAATTTCTATATCTCTTATTCCAAATGATTCATCACTATATATTTGATCTAATGTATTTGATATTGTGATTGTTGAAGATGTTAAGTAATGCGGAAAAGTAAGCTCAACATTAATAAAAGTGTCTTAAGCAGATCCTCCACATATTTAATATAAGTATTAGTTTAATTCTGATAGTCTTTACTTCCATCTAAGATTTTGATTTACTTATAAAATAGCATAATCGTTATATTCCCAACTATCTATTTTGAGATATTTGAATTTAATTTTCATTCTTGTATGGAATGGGAGAGAAACCAAGTTCAAAGTTAATTTTGTATCTTTCCCACAAACACCATAGCCACAAGTACTTGGTATCACTATTTTAATTAAAGTCTTATTACTTGAACATTATTATTTTGTATAATCACCATTGAGAATATTCCAACCATCAGTTGAAAATAAATCGTATTAAGTTTCAGTAAAGAATGTATTAGTAATGATCCAGGTTTTACATTCTGTTTATGTATCAGATTAAGAACAAGTGAGACATCCAGATGGACATAAATAAAGGAAAATTCTGAAATTCCTAAAACCCCATGATTCCTATTTATAGCAATAATTATACATCAAAAGGGATTTAATCCAAAGTACTTGTCAATTGAATGAATGTTGTTGTTCCTGTGTGTGGAAATTCAAATTAAATTTCATGACTGGAGTCTGATCTGTGATTTCCTGTTTACCCACAAATATTATTAATGCCTTGTTCATAAGAATATGCTTTATTATAAACTAAGCTTTCATCAACATACAAGTGGAAGTATTCATTTTGATCCCATGTATCAATTCTTTTATTAAATATCAAAAAATACATAAAAAGAGTGAATGAAATTTAGATTTTATAATGAGGAGGTAATAATAAGAATTTAGTAGCAGCAATTCCAAGTGCAAATTTTTCATATCCACCTACAATACTATAAGGACCACATAATTAGATGACATCAAGAGGATTAATTCCAATAAATGACCAATCTTATATTAATAAATATGATACTTTCAGCATTTGTTAAAGTAGTGTCAGTGAATGCAGAATAAAAAAGAGTTTGTTAGTAAGTAATTTTGAGTAAATAGGTAATAAGTAGGAACATGTGATCTAACGTAAAAGAATGTTGAAAACTTAAATTATTTTGATAAAAGGATTTATGAATTAATTTAAATATTAAATTTTTTATAATAATTAAAAATTTTTATAATAATTATTTAATAATTGTTTAATAATTGTTGATTTTCTCAGACAATCATTTATATTATTATGACTATTGCACTTAAAATTTTGGAAATCAAAATTTCTGCAATACCTTATCCTTATGGTATAGGTGATCTATTAGCATCCTAATTAGTTTCACCAGTATCACATTCAGTACAGGCAGAACTTATAGGATTCCATTTGTAGAGTTCCAAAGAATACAATAAACATGTATGTTCAGTTAAAGATTTGACATCAAAATTCATGCATTAAAATGAAACAAATCTACAAATGTTATAAGATTACCAATCCCATGTTAGATAATGTGAACATTCTCCACTTTAATTTTCATATGAAGAACAAGTATGTTCTTTACATTAACTTGGTTGATTTTAATTTTAAGGTTACCAATAACATCTATCATTTGCTTATTAACATGCAATTTAATCATGATTGGCAGAACTACATCCATTCATTAAATGACATTAATTAATAGTAGAATCCCAATAACATAAACCATCTAATCCAATAGAATTACATGAAACTTAATTTTTATATTCAGAACAATTTCTTTTAGGAATACACTTAATACCATCTGAAATACAATTATCAACTTCTTCACATTATGAAATTATATCTGAACATGTTTTCTATTAACAATGTTATTATTTCCAAATACAAGAACCTTCCATTCCTAAAGCATAATTGCATAAATCTTTATTATGATAATCAGCACACATCATTTTACTTATACATTTTTATCCATCAGAAGTACAAGATTATAATGCATTTTAACATTCCTCTTTAGTATTAAATTTCATATCTTTACAATCTTCATTTCTACATATATTATATTGACTATCCCATACACAATTACCTGTTGAAATAACTTAATTTCTTTCATTTCTTTCAATACCAACATTATTAAAATGACAAGCTTCTTCAATATAATAATCACAAGAAGTCAATGATCTACAACCTGTAATTCCATTTGTTGTACATTATGGATTTGCTTTTTAACATTCTAAATGAGTTAAATAAAATGCTTAACTACAATGTAAGAATATTTAACATTTTGGTTATTCTAATATTCCTAAAGCAGTAACAGATTAAATACACATTCCTTCAATACCTGTAACACATCCACCATTAATATTTGTCTCTTAACATCTAGTTATAGGAACACATTCATAACCATTAGTAGTACAATAATTAGATATTAATTTACATTCTCTATCTGTTTTCCATTTCATACTTTAACAAGAATTGTATTGAAAACATTTACCTCCATTACTAGTATAATTATCAATCCATAAACATGGTCCATCTTATCCAAAAATACATTCATATTTACTATTAATTTAATTACACATTCTCAATTAAACACAATAACCATTCAATCCTATTGTACAATTATTATTAAATGAATAACATTCTTAAAATGAATTACTATGTATATCATTGCATTCTTTTAACTTACATTATTTAAGTGTATCATTCCAAAAACATTAATTTCCTTTAATATCCATATTACAAGATTCTTATGTTTATTAATTTTGACAACTACTTTTCATTTTGCATCCTCCATTTAATTTAGATGTACATATTGTTCCATTCATATCATTAAAATATTCTTAACATTATTTTTCAGTTAATAGTTATAAAGGAGCTGTATCACAAGTCTTTTAAACACATTTATTAGATTATATCCAATCACATGGTTGATTATTATTATCTTTAATACAATCTTTCTAATTCAAAATACTTGAACATGTTGTTATCTTTTAACATTTATTTTCTTAATAATTCCAAAAACAAGTACTGCCTAAAGTATCAATCTTACAAGCTTCTTCAGTATCAATATAAACACATATTACATTCTTTCTACATCCTCCTCCTTTTTTAGTAATACATTAATTATTTGGTAAATAAGATTCACATTCTTAATTTGTACTGAATTATATTGGAGCATTCTAACAACTCTTCTCAACACATCCACTTTTATCATTATTTCCAGTACATTAAAACATAAACTATTAACATTATTCATATCCAAAATAATTATCTCCAGCATGTTAACATTATTTTCTAGTGCAATGATTATTTCTCCATATACACTCATTGTCTTCACCATCTTTATAACAAAATTATTCAGTAGTTGCAAATTCACAACCATAATTAGATATACACCCATTACCATTAGTAATACATATTTTATGTATACTTTAACACTATTCATAAGTTGTGTATGATGAAGGTGCATTTTCACATAGTATATTCATACATTTTACTCCATCCCAAAAACATCCTTCACCATATTAATTAACTACACATGCCTCCTACACTTATGCATCCTAACAATTAGATCTTTAAACACAACCTCCTCCTTTCTTTGTTGTACATTCTTATAAGAATTATTTACATTCTTCATCACTCCTTAAAGTTATAGATGCATTATCGCAAGTTCTTTCTAAACACTTATTATCATTCCAAAAACAATCCTTATTTTTACCACTGTTTATATAACATGACTCTTCCTCCTTTAAATCATTGCATTAATAAGTTAATTCTATGCATCCACCTCCTTTTTTCGTAGTACCTTTTATAAATATTCTAAAATTATACATTTATCTAATTGATTTTAGCATTCCTAATGTGATTTTAATTTCAATGGTAATTGATCACATTATTGAATGCTTTCACAAAGACGTTTTTCTTTATTCCAATTACAAAACTTCCCTTATTTATCAAAATAACATGAATATGAATTTTTATATGTATTACAATTGTCAATATTAACACACATTTCAGAATCTGATATACATAAACTTGATAGTCTCTAACAATCTTCGTGAGTTTCTCTCAAATATGCTGTGCATCCAGTAAAATGACTGCATTATTCTTTAAAATATATGCATGAAGTCTCTTTTCTACATTATTCTTGAGTCATTTGATTACAAAAAAAGGAAAATGCTTTGTTCTCTTTTATTTCATTAATATTCTCAAGTAAATATTTCTAGGAGTAAACATCTATTGATGTTTTACATTATAATAATTAATTATCCCAGTAGCATTATGGAATCTTTTGACAATCGTTTTAAATTAATAATTGAGCACATTGACACTTCTCTCCTATTTTTATTTATTAACTATATATGATGATGAGGTTAGTGATAATTAATATTTACTTCATTTATATATATTATAATTATTATTATTATTTATAAAATGAGTGAAGGAGTATCTAACTCAAATTAATAGGAAAACAACGATTAGATGAGTAAGAACACAGGTAAAAAATAAACTGATTAGTTACATTAACTATAAGGAATAGATCAGAAAGATTGTTCTGTTGAATTATAATAGGAGGAAAAATCTTAAAACAAATAATAAGATTAGACAGAAGAAAATAAAATTGTATAAATATCTAACTAAGATTCAACTGTAAATCAATCAGAAGCTAATGCAATAACCAATTAAACACTAGCATAATTAGTTAACTAATAATAAAATAACTAAGATTCAACTGTAAATCAATCAGAAGATAATGCAATAACCAATTAAACACTAGCATAATTAGTTAACTAATAATAAAATAACTAAGATTCAACTGTAAATCAATCAGAAGATAATGCAATAACCAATTAAACACTAGCATAATTAGTTAACTAATAATAAAATAACTAAGATTCAACTGTAAATCAATCAGAAGATAATGCAATAACCAATTAAACACTAGCATAATTAGTTAACTAATAATAAAATAACTAAGATTCAACTGTAAATCAATCAGAAGATAATGCAATAACCAATTAAACACTAGCATAATTAGTTAACTAATAATAAAATAACTAAGATTCAACTGTAAATCAATCAGAAGATAATGCAATAACCAATTAAACACTAGCATAATTAGTTAACTAATAATAAAATAACTAAGATTCAACTGTAAATCAATCAGAAGATAATGCAATAACCAATTAAACACTAGCATAATTAGTTAACTAATAATAAAATAACTAAGATTCAACTGTAAATCAATCAGAAGATAATGCAATAACCAATTAAACACTAGCATAATTAGTTAACTAATAATAAAATAACTAAGATTCAACTGTAAATCAATCAGAAGATAATGCAATAACCAATTAAACACTAGCATAATTAGTTAACTAATAATAAAATAACTAAGATTCAACTGTAAATCAATCAGAAGATAATGCAATAACCAATTAAACACTAGCATAATTAGTTAACTAATAATAAAATAACTAAGATTCAACTGTAAATCAATCAGAAGATAATGCAATAACCAATTAAACACTAGCATAATTAGTTAACTAATAATAAAATAACTAAGATTCAACTGTAAATCAATCAGAAGATAATGCAATAACCAATTAAACACTAGCATAATTAGTTAACTAATAATAAAATAACTAAGATTCAACTGTAAATCAATCAGAAGATAATGCAATAACCAATTAAACACTAGCATAATTAGTTAACTAATAATAAAATAACTAAGATTCAACTGTAAATCAATCAGAAGATAATGCAATAACCAATTAAACACTAGCATAATTAGTTAACTAATAATAAAATAACTAAGATTCAACTGTAAATCAATCAGAAGATAATGCAATAACCAATTAAACACTAGCATAATTAGTTAACTAATAATAAAATAACTAAGATTCAACTGTAAATCAATCAGAAGATAATGCAATATAATTAAACAACTAAGCATAATTTGTTAACTAATAATTAAATAACTAAGATTCAACTGTAAATCAATCAGAAGCTAATGCAACATAATAATTAAACAACTAAGCATAATTAGTTAACTAATAATAAAATAACTAAGATTCAACTGTAAATCAATCAGAAGATAATGCAATATAATTAAACAACTAACCATAATTAGTTAACTAATAATTAAATAACTAAGATTCAATTGAAAATCAATCACAAGAAGATTAATAAGAGAACTCATATTCTTTATATAGATTCGATGGAGATTAAGATTAAGATTCATAGATTATGGCTATTGAAGTTTATAACAGCATCAATTACCTAAACACTTTTCTGTAAACTACATAATTTTGATTTTGATATAATCCATCTATAGATAACAATAATTAAATATATTATTGTTAATCACATCATAAAATATTTTATTAATTTTTTTCATAGTGTATTAAAATATTTTAATATTTATATCTCAATATTCGATTTCTTACAACCAAAATGTCCTAATAATTATTGTTTTAAACCTGTTTTCAAGTATTTACAAATATAATGATCTTTATAATTAGCTTATGATCCATTCAATTTATTAATAAGTACTTATAAATGTACAATTTAAAATAGTTATTGTGCAAGTAAGATTAATTTATTTGATTATTGATCTTTAATATCCTAAAATTTATAAACATAAAGTTATATGAGACTGAAACATGGAATAATACCTTATCTATCATTAATATCTATTTAAATCAAAGTTCTATAATGTTCTTTTTCTAAGATTTCTTAAAGGATTATCTTTTAAAGTGGATTTAATGCATAAATAGACTTTAAAATTGATTGAATAATGTAATGATTAAAATAAGTAAATAGAATATGTAACATTTGATAATGTTTTGCTTCTTTTGAGAGTTGATATAAGTTAATAAATTTTGTTATGAGTATAAATTTCTCGTCCTTTGTGCTAATGATTGTACTAAATATCATATGGAATAAAAGATAATCAAAATAATCGCTAATTTCATCATTCCTGTAAATTATTACTGACAATACTTGATTAAATGGTTTTAGTTAAGCATAGCTGTTATACTTATCTTAGAAAATTGTTCAATATCAATAATCCAAAATTATTTTTATAGAATTTCAACATTACAATTTAGGTAGAAACAATTGCCATCAAATTAAGTAGATAGATTCTAAATTATTGATTAATTCAATATTTGCATTGATAAATTTCTAAATTTCTTATTCTTTTATGGATGATCAAGACTTTATTTTCTTTATAAAAGAGTTGGAGATGGTGAATTCAATGTTGTTGTAAGTATATTCTTTTTTCCATTTAAAATAACTTTTATTTTCTATTCTAATTCATTCTATTTAGCATTATCAATCAATTCAACTAAATTTAAAAATTACAAAAATATTGTGCAAAATACACTATTATCATTAATCAAATCTACTTATCGATAATCCAACCATAAATTTAAATATGATAATATTTTTTAATTCTTCTCTTAAACATAGAATTTAACAACTTCATTTAAAAGATCAATATGACTAAATCCCAATTTTTCATATATCACAATTAACACTCCAAAATCATAATCATTATTGAATCCCTTAATTATTTAAGGATCAACAGATTTAGATAAATCCTTAAATATATAAATATCATCTCTCTTAATCTATTCTTATTTCCTTTCAATATTTAATATATCATATATTCTATCATATCCATTAGGTTTCTTTACTCTCTCAGTTGAACTTGTTTTTCTATTTTTTTTTAACTCCCTTAATTTTGGAATAGGTCTTTAATAAACACATTTTTAGATTAATGTCTAAAAGCTTAGAATATTAGTTTCAATAATTTCTATTGGTTAATTGAAGTAATCCAATATTAATTCAATTGGCTACTAAAACATATGTACATCATCTTTAAATACAACAGGAATATGCTAAATTTGAAAATATACAATATTGTACATTTTTAACTAGACTTGTAAGTAACTATGATTCACTTTTCATTAAGGCTTCTACGTGTTATTGATTTCTTACTACTATTATAAATTGCCCATTTAACTATCCCCATTAGGAATCACACATTATAATTAAAAATAATTCATATTGAATTTTCAATTCTTTAGACATACTCTCATTTAAAAGTAAGAAAAAAGAAAGAATCAATTATTTTAAATTCTAAATCTAATTTAGAACTTCTATAAATATTATATATACTTATATAGAGTTATTCTCCAATTATATTTATATATTAAATATAGAAACAATGAAAATCTTGGATGATATCAAATAATAAGTGGAGAAGGAAATGTAAAAGTTTGATCCACGTCTAGCTTAAAAGAAATATCTAAAGATGACAGAATCTATAAAGGATTTGTTTTTAAAAGCAGTGGTTTCTGAGAAGTAATCTATTAAAGCGGTACTATTTATATAATATATTAGGCTGCCAATTCTATAGGTATTAATTACTCTTCAGCCAAAGCTATATGGGCAGAATTCAGAAGAAAGAAATAGAAGAAGAATAATAATAAAGAAGAATCAAATTAGAAAAAAGAAAATCCATTAGTCAAACGTTGTTCATATAAAATATTAAATGGTTGTAATAAGATAAAGAAATTGTTTATGGAAATAAAATCCTCTGTATCATAGAATTTGAATTCAACACATTTTTGTAAGATGGATTCTCACATTTGAATAACAAATTATATAATTATATTTAGAGTAAATCAATCTCATATCGATTATTTCTAATTAGTTATTCATTAAGAGATTTATCAATGAACTCTTGTATCTATGAAACAGATAATAACATATAAATAAATGAAAGAGACAAGATTAGACAAAGAAACTCATATATATATAATTCTAATTATTATATAAAAATAAAGATACAAGATAATTAAAGTTATTTGAATATAAATTGATAATTAAGAAATATCATGAAGATTAATATTTTATATTCTCTATTTAATATAAAAATAACCTTGAAGTATTCTATAAATATTCATTTCAACAAATTATGAGAGTGTTTAATAACTAAATTATATTAGGATATGAAGAAATGATTAATGTAAAGAAAATGAATTATGAAAAAAGACTATTATCTAATTAGATAATTATTAATTTTTAGTTATAAATTATTTATATAAGAAATGAGTGTATAACCTAGATTAAGTCCAAAGAATTACAAAAAATATAGCATCTTTAATGATTCAATCAATATAAGAACATCTCGTAACACAAGCTTTGATTATGAATTTTAAAAGAGAAGGAATTCCAACTTAAAGTTCAAAAATTCTGGTAGTGTTTTAAGAGGTTCTAAAGCTAATGATTTTATGGGAAATCTCATAGCACATTTTTAATATGTATAAATATTCTCTATAATAAATTATAGGGTTAAAATGCATTTAGAGAAAAGAATTTAATTGAAGCTATTAAATACTATAATGAATGTATATTAATAGATTCTTTACATGTACCTAGTAGATATATGTTGGGAGTATGTTATTTCTCTTAAAATTAATATGAAAAATGTATTAAAGAACTTAAATTTGTTAAAGAACAATAACCAAATTACAATAAAAATGTATATATAATACTTGCACTTGGTTATAAAAAGTTAATGTAATTAGATTGGTCTATCAGAACAGTAATAAATTTATTATCATAATAGTTAGATGAATGTTTATAGTTTTATCCACAATGTTATGATGCATTGATATTCAAAGGCAAATTAGAACTTAAATTAAGGAGATTCTAAGATTGTGAATCAACATTAAAATAAGCTATTAGAATAAATTCAAAAAGATCAACAGGATATCATTATTTTGGAGATTGTTAAAGATTGTAAAATAATTTGGATTTAGCAATTAAGAATTATTAAATAGCATTACAATTTGATACAAGTGATAAATCTAAATTAAACATTTTAAAAATATCTATATGTCTTTATGAAATGGCAAATTATCAGTAAGCTTTATAGATGATTGATTAGGTATTATATTTTGTTAATTAGTATTTAAGCTTAGATGAATAATCATCTGAAGCAAACAAATTGAAGGGATAAATATTATATAAACTTGGAGAAAAGTCAGAAAGTTAATTATATTATGAATAAGCCATTTAAAACAATAATTCTAGAAATGCTGTCTCTAAAGCTATGATAGAAATTAGTAAATTTAAAATAGAATCTAAAGATTATTATTCTTTATATCATACACTTTTAAGAACTGAATATTTAGATGTTGATAAATAATAATTATAACCTTATATCTAATTTTCTGAAGCTGTTGTTTGTTTAATGAAAAAGAATTATACATAAGCAGATGAAGCATTTAAAATATTAGAATAATTAGAAATTCCAATTCTTATATAAGATATCTATCATTCATATTTAGGATATTTAAATATGATGCTTAATAATTTTGAAGAGGCATTAAAAGATTTTAAAAAGAATAAATCTTTACCATATAATTAAATAATATGTGAAGGAATTATTAATTTTAATTCATTTTAAATTGCTTATTCTAAATTTGATTAAGCATTAAATTACAATTAGATTGATCCAAATATGTATAAAGCAATATTATTAATAAAGGAAGGATTAAAGGAAGAGAATTCTGATTATGTTAATAATTCATTGTAATGTTTAATTAGAGCATAATAACATAATTAGAATAATTCTTAATTGATGTATTTAAAATCATTAGCATATATGTTAATGGACAATATTGAAGATGCATACAAAGAAATATTAACAACTATTGAAAAGGCAGATGAAAATTTAGCTGATCATTATTATTTGAAGGGATTAATCTTGGCATTAAATGGAGATATCTTAAATGCAGTCTAAGATTTTTCAGTCTGTTTAGGAATTGATGATTAATATTAAAAAGCCTATTTATAAAGATCAAAATGCTATTCATATTTGGGAGAAATGTAATCAGCTTTTGATGATATGAACAGTTATATTTAATATGTAGATGACTTTTTGAGTGCAGGCAATCTGTTATATAATAGTAAAATGTATGAAGAAGCATATAAAACATATAAATAAGAACAAAATTCAACATTTGAACATAAATAATAGATGGCAATTTGTTTATTTTAATTAGAGTAATTTGATGGAGAGGAAATTCAAGAATTTATAAAAGATAAATAATTTGATCAAAATATGATTCATGCTTATTAACAAATACTAAAATATGAATATGATTTAGCTATCTTAACCTTATAAAAAAAGGTTGATCCTTAAACATCCTTTTTCTTTAATAAATAATATCTACATTAATATAAAGGCATTTGTTATTTATATTTACAGAAATATTAAGAAGCAATTTAAGAATTTGAAAGATGTATTTAATAGACTAAATCAGAGACTCTTATTTATATAACAAATTATAATATTATGTTTTGTTGGATGATGTTAAAGAAATTTAAATATTCTCATACTCAATTAGAATAATTAATTAAAATTTCAGAATAGAAGCATGTCTTACTAACTATTAGAAATCTTTTAATTGATTAAACAGAATTTATATTGTCAGATAATCCATAAGGAATAGAAATTATGTTATCAGATACAATTAAATTATAACCATTTGTGTCAACATAGTATACAATTTATCCATATTTCTCATTACCTATTCCTTAATTAAAAGATATGACTCCCTAATTTGATTTCAAAATAATCTAATCCTTAAATGTAATCTATTGTAATAATAAATTAAGGCATAATCAATTGAATGTAGACCTGAAGCTCCATGGATTAGAAGAAATTAAAGTGGTGTGTTATTTACTGATAATTTGTAGTAATGTGAATTAAGTTAAACAGAAAACAGTTCTCCAGAAAACTGAATTTATTATAATATCACTGTAGAGCTAATTTAAATTTTTTATTTGATAATTTAATTCAATAATCTTAATTCTCTATAAGCTAATAAAAAAATATATAAATATTAATATTATACTTAAAATCTATACTTATAATTGCATTTCATTTTTAATTTTGTTTGATAGTATAAAAATGAATTCAAATATATTCTATTACATTCTGTTTGAATAATATGTGTAATTGAATAAACAAAAATATAAAATGGATTCATTTTAGAGCAAAATTACAAATCTAATGATTAATAACAATATAGCAGAACATGATATAAGTGTGTATCAAATTATTGATATTAGATATATATTATCTTAATAAAAGAATTCAATTCACTATAGAATTAGTGGAATTAATTCAAGAATTAAATAATTCCATATTACCTAGACCATATTGATAACTTATTGTCATAATGAAATGTGTGGTTGTTATGTTAAAAGATGGCTCTTTTAGTTTAATACAAGAAAGATAAGTTGTTTGATTAAAGTAGCTATAGAGTGTGGATTTACTTAAATGATGTTTAATAAAAAAGGAGAGGATTAATAGAAATATATTGTTTAAAGAATTTGTGAAGATAAAGAATAATAGATGAGATTAGGAATAGATTGATAAATAGAAATATTTTGATAAGACAAACATTTATGATTGAATACTTTATTAGATATTAGAATTGAAAAAAAGTGAAGAGTAAGAATTGAAGATATACTACAAGATGTAATATTAAGAGAATTTAGTTGAGAATATAATAATGAGATCAGGATTGTGAGATGATTTATAAAACTAATTGAATGCAGATTTTAATCAATATGTATTCGTAATTTATTTTAAGTGTGATAGGATGCTTCTTAATTATCTTCTCAACGTTTTGGTTCAGGACTCCAATTAGAGATATCAATGAAATTATTGCATTTAGAAAACCTATTTATGATTAAGTAGTATTGCTATTTTTGGATGCCACAGGTTATCGATATATAATGAATGAAAATAAGGATCATTAGATATTCTAAACTATTTCTTTATTGAGGGGATTAAGGGAGACTTATCCATTTCATACATTCCTTCAAAAAACTAAGGCTGTCCCACCTTCTACAGACTTTACTATATTAAGTATAATTAATGGAATCAAACAGATGTAAAACAATTTGGATGTGATATTCAAATCTTATCCAGCACCTTATGAAGATTCTCTACTCAGAAAACAATTTAAAACAGCTCTTTATTCAAGTAAAAAATAAGACTGGCTAAGAATGACTTCAGGAGAATTCACTTATATTGAAAACCCTTAATTTTTTAATTTAGATAACATTTAATTAGCAGATCTTTCATCATACTAATTCTTTAAATAATCATTCTAATAAGCTTAACCAGACTACCAATTATATATAGTTCATATGATGGGATTTGATGCATTAGGACATGCCTTATAATATTAAGATTATGATTAAGGAATATAATTATTAAGAATGTATAATTCTATTTTAGAAGGAGTGGTTAATAGTTTAAAATAAAATCAACTTTTAATTGTGATAGGTGATCATGATCAAAGTAAAAGAGGAAAACATTATTAATGTTCTTAAGAATCATATGAATGTGAAGGTTTTATATTTGCATTCTCATTCAATGAACTTTCAACAGATGATTAAATCTATGAATATTATGAACCTACTGATTTATCAGCAACTATTAGTTCATTATTAGGATATTAACCAACAAGCTAAAATCTAGGAAAAATAATACCTTAATTCTATCCTAAAAATTTAAATAATTCAGAAATCTAAAATGATTAAGAGATGATCAAATAATAAGTGCTTAAATATTTATAAACATAAGGATTTAAAATATAATCCACATTTATTGAAGAATTAAAATAAGTACCTGCAGATCAAGTTATAAGTCATATTTAAAGAAACTTATAAATTGGTGTACCAAGAAAAGAATCCTTTATAATTGGAATAATGTTATTACTATTTAGTATCTACTCAATGAAAAGTCTTTGGGGATTTTAAGAAATCTTAATAATTGTATCAACTGGATTCTTTAATCCTTAAATTATGATTATAGGATTATTGATATTAGTAATCATTAAGAAAGAATATAATCTAAAATGGATTCTCAAAATATTGGCTTTCTTGTTGTTTATTTAACTTAATGATATGGGTTATATTCCTGAGATTCTATTATCAATTGAAATACAATTCCTACTCATTTTAGTAATTAAATATCATACATATATACGTTCAGGATAAACTTTTACTAATTGGAAAATATCATTATTATTTGCATTAGTAACTATGTCATCATTTACAGTTTATGTGTTTTTCCTATTGGGTTAAAGTGAATTTGAATTAAAGAGGTCTATCTTAATTAGTTTGATAATTGTTATAATATTTCTTTGTGTTATAGATCCAAGGTATTTTAATTAAGGAAAAGTTAAGGCATTATATGTGACAATACTTTTTATATTGTCAGATGTTACAATAATATTCTAATTAAATTACTCTAAGAATTTTATATAATTTATTCTATAATTTATGTTATTGCAATTTATTGATGTTGGATAGAATGTACTCATTTCTAAAATTATATATAATGCAATAAATCCCATTAAAATAGATCATTAAGTTTTTAAAGGTCATTAATAAGTTAATATGAATTCTATGATCCTACTTACTTAAGAATTTGATATTGGACCATCCTTATTTTCTGTTTTTATTGGTAGTTTTGGATGCTAAATAATAGGAATTGCTACATTATTTTTTAATAAACTTAATTAAAATAGACATAAAATAATAAGTGCTTTGATTATTTCATCCATCTCTAATCTACTTTTAGATTCATGGCGGATACTGAATTATAAATAATCTATTCTCAACACTAATCAAATGATTGAAGAATAGATTGCATTATTAAACAGTTTGCCATTAAAATTAGTAGAATTAATCATATATAACTTAACTTTAATTATTTTGGCTAGATAAACCAAGAAATAGAGATAGATGTGATATATATAAAATTCCTTATAAATTAATTAATCAAAAGTATAATTTCTTATAAATTAATTAATTTTAAAATTGCTGCTGCATCAATTAGAATTGCATATCAAATTAAATTGGTTATATAAATCCTCTCTTTGAATATACACTATATCCTTTGAATTAACAAACAGGTTATTATTGAAATGGTTAATACTAAAAATATAAATTTTATTATTCTTACATAATAAAATTATTATTAGCCTTATCTCATTTCTATTGGAGTTTAAGGAGTACTAATCTCAGTGCTTTTCTCATACACTGTATTAATTGTAATGCCATCTTTTTTAAATTAATTCAATGCTTCTGAAACTTAATTTAATAGACCTGTTCTTTCAGCAAAGCCGATTCTCTTTAATTTTGGCATTTCCTTTAGAGTATCAACCACTAAAAAATAATATTAATATTTTTTACATTTAATATTTTCTCTTTGTACTTTAACTTCTATATCTACATTTTTAGAAATTTTATTTTATGTATTTGTATTGAACTTTGTAGTAGGTTTAAGAAAGAAATTTTTATTTATTTCTATAATAGATTTAATAGCATTTTACCTATTTTCAATTGTTAATATTTTTCAGCTGAATAAGAACTTTAACTTTTGTCATCAGAATCCTTTTATGAACATACAGAAAGTGGATTATAACCATGTGATGCCACCTTGTTTAATTCAGGAGATGTATTACAAGAGGAGTCACTTTTTTTAAGTTCAGGGATTTGCTAAACAAATTCATAAAGATCAGAAGGAGTTTTTGATTACAATTATTCTTTAAATTCAGAAACTATAGAGAGTAATTAATCTGGTAAAAGTGGATTGAGTTTGTTGATGAATTGAAGGAAGGCAATTTTCAATGTATCTATAGTATCCATTTGATAAAAATTAGAATATATAAATTTGTATAGAATAAGTTAAATATATCATAAATGAATGTATAATAAATATTATTAAAATGGAATTAGAAGAGTCATGTTCTAGTTTCAAAGACTTAGATGATGATGGAAGTGACATTTTTAAGTCTCTTATAGATGATGATTCAGATTATTTGAGTAGAAATTAATGTACAATCCAAATTAACAATTAATTACAAAGAAGTGTAGTTTAAGATAGTTCTTCTTTGGTTAGAGGAAGTGAGTAATCAGTAGAATCTGATCAATCATTTATTATAGAATAACCCATATTAATAAAGAAAGAATAAAGTAGACAATTCCACAATCGTTTGGAATTAATTCTATAGCGAACTAGACCTAAAAGGAAATAGGAAAAATAAAGATTTAGTTTGGATACATCAGCTATTCTTATTAAGTTATTAAATTCTAAAAGACTATATAGATTGGTATTTAATTTCTATATATTTTTGAACATAATATTTAGAATAATGTGTTTAGTAATCACATTTTTATAAAGTATAGTATATAGTTTGGATAACAGATGGTCTTGTTGGGGATCATTGGGTGGTTTTTGTTTAACAAGAATTTTATTTGGTTTATCAATTTATAAGTTATTAAATATTGGAGAATTTACAAAAGATAAATCTATTAAGATTGTTTATGAAACTTATTTAAAATGGTTTGAAGATACTTAAATAAAGATTAGATAATTGGAAAGAGAAACTAATTCTCTTATTAGAAGGAATTAATCTGATGAAGATTAATTTTTTAAGTAAACAAAAGAAATCTATAGATTATAAAAATAGTTATTATTTTTAAAGACTTATTAAATATTTATACCACCTGAATTGTCATTTTTATATTTTAGAAAATAAAGTAATGGATTTTTTTAAGTGTAAAACTTTATTATGAAAAGTATTGAATTATTTTTCTTTATGCCAGCATTTCTCTATTTCATTACTGTATTTAATGTAAGAGATGTAGAAAGAATTGTTATTTTGGATTTCACAGAACATTAAATATAACATATTTTTATTATCCTTGTCATATTAGATAATATTATTTTCATATTTATATCTCTAGCTTTACTATACTTAGGAAATAATAAAAAAAAAGTTAAACCTATTTGAAATTATTACTTATTTTATATATTAGTCTATTAATATTTATTCAAATATTATTTATAATATCTTTAATAATCATTTTAATAGAAAAGTTTATTAATTATCAAATTTTTCATTTATTTTACAATTCATATAATGTAATATTTAAATCTAAATCTCCGAAAGAATTTCTTTTTATATCTATGTGAATCGGACCAAATTTGATTAATTCATTTAAATGATCTTTTAAAATTTCCTGAAGTTTCACTACTTTGTTTTCTGAGAATCCTACCCATTATCTTAATGGACCAAGGACATTAGTGTATTTTTTAATTTCAACAGGATAATATTCTTCCAAATATTTTAAGAATTCTTCAAAAGTTGTCTTATCATTTACTTCTGCTCTCAACTCTTACAGAACTTTTTGTTCATCCACGTAAACAGATTTAATTGATTTTTGCATTTCTATTTTTACCATTTCAAAACAGTTCTGTTATTTTTCTTACAATTTTTATTATTACCTATATAGATTTTATTTAAAATTCTCAAATTCTTTAGAAAATATTTATATATGTTCCTAGCTAATTTTTTTCTATAAATTGTATAAAGTTTATTTAGATTTAATTAATTAAGATTTATAGGATTAATTAAGAGGTTACTTAAATAATTATTAAATCTATGTCATATCTCTCTCAAAAAATTCTAATTCTTTTACAATATTATTTTGTGAATCTTTTAACATTTAAATAAAGAGCAATTCTAAATTTTTTAATTTTGTTTCGATTAACTCTTTTAGTAATTATATTTCAGACTAAATATTGAAATCATTTTATTATAATCCATTCTAATTAGATTGATTTTATACAATGAATTTAGCTTAAATATTTAGCTGTTGAGATTATTATTGAAACTTAAGAAGTCGACTTATTGATACTTAATCATCTTCTAAGAGAACGTTACCTCTATAAATTTCAATATTTTCTATTTCTGATGAGTGCTTTTTTTTCAAATAATCATAGATGTTATTTTTAATATCCTTTATTGTGTTATTTTTCAAAAAACTAAGTAAAATATCTTCTTTAACATCCCCATTCTCTAGTTAAATAATACAAGTTAGTCTTTTTTTTAATGATATGGTTAATGTATCATTCTGAGTATAGGTAAACGTATCATCAAGATTCAAAAACTATTATTTTATTTAAGAATAGCATTTAAAGTCATTTATTGATTGAGAAATTTAATTAACTTTTATTAAATGTTCCATTACTTCTTTTAATAGTGTGATTTTCATAACATATATAGTAATAGAATTATAATTTAATGATTACCAAACAATATTTAGTTAAATTTCATAATTATCAACATTTTGGTACTGATTATCTGTTATTTCTTGGTATTCATCGTCTAAATCCAATGTTAAGGACATTTTTTAATAATTTTATTTATTTTTATTGATATTAAATAATCCTATGTAAAATAGAGAATGTTTATATTATAATTCTATTCTTCTATTCTATTTAATTTTAATAATAGCATTAACATAACTTTTCTTATAATATTGAATAAGAATTAGAATGGATTATAAATTAAAATTAATTGAATAGTATATTAATTTTAATAACATTATAATATTAAATGTTTTTTATATAATTCCTTTTACTAAATGGAATAGTAACAGAATAAATTGAATAACAAGAAGTTAAGAGATTTTCAATAATTCATGGAAGAATATCAACAATTTAAGTTCCAATTTAAAATGTATTCAATGTTGAAATACATCATTTAAATAAAACTTTAAATAATACAAAAGAAGGTGAAGAACCATCAGTATTATTTGCTGATTTCTGTTAACCAAAGAATCCATAAATTTATTTAGAACATATTCAATCAATTAATGTATGTGCAGATTAATGTGAAATAATTATTCAAAATAATAAAGTAAATATAATGTTAAAAAATAGATATATAGTTTATTACCTGGTTATTTAAAAGTGTTAGAGATGAATGATGAATAAGGATTTACATTCTTTAGTGAAACACTATTATAAATATCATAAAATCTATCAGAGATATTGATTACGACTAATATATAATAAGATAATAAATTAATAATTCTGGATGGAATAAACTTATTCATTATAAATATTGACTAAAATGATGAAATTAATAAACCTATTAAATTATAAACATAAATTGAGATAGTTACATAAATAATTTATTATGATAATTTAATATATGTATTTGGTAATAACACTTTAGAAATATTTATAATTCAAGATAAGCAAGTGGATTTGATATAATCAATAAATATAGCTAAATATGAAAATTAGAATACAAATATTATGGGAGTAAAATTAAAAAGTGCAAATCATTTTATATGGATTACAGAATCAAGTTTAGGTTCTATTTAATTAGATGCATAATTTTAGCCAATTAAATATAACTCTTTTTTACGTTTTGAAGGTAAAATAATAGATGTAGAAATTTATGAAGATTTAACTTATGTTATTTAAAAATTAAATAATAAACTTAATTTATAATATGTATTAGAATATGAAGGAGATATTTTAAAATAGAATCTAACTCTTACTACTAAAGTACATTAGATATTTTCAACATAAAATGTATAATATATATTTTATATTTAGTACATTATTATATTATAAGAGAATTTAATTCAATTGGCATTTGCTAAAATAGAGACATAATAATTGTTTAGTAAGAATATATTAGAAAATACTAATAAGATTTTAAGATATGATTAAGGATAATTAATAGTTTAATAATAAAATGAAATAGTTCAATATGAAATTAAATAATAATCAGCTTAATTAGTATGTGAACCAAATTAAAATTATTCGACTGGAACATATATGATGGAATTAAGGACTGGATATTTTGTTAATGAGACTAAAGCATATCATAATTAATTAGTAGAAATTAATGTTTATTTTGAAATATTTGAAAATGGTAATGTTGGACTATATGTGGGTTTAACAATTGGATTAGCAATGACTTTTATGACAATGATTATATTTTGTGTATTCTTTTACAAACTAAAAGCAAAATATCAATCAGTAAGAGAATAATATCATAAAAATTCAACTGAATTTACTATTGAATGATTTTGTATGTTTTGTATGTATATATATTTAACAATTTTTAATTATTCTTAATTAGAATTGTTAAAAAATAAATTTTAAGATTAAAACAAAAATAAAAATAAATTAATCCATATATTTATATATTATTAATCATTGTACCATAGTCATTATATTATCTTATAAGAATCTGAATTTAAGTTTCTCATTCTTTTAAATAATAGACATAGGTATCATATTCAACATACCTTTTGTTTGCCAAATCTATATACTTAATTTTGTCAAATATGGCATCCATATAATAAAAAATAAGATGATCCATGCAATTATCAATACAATAAATTTTACAACTTCAATGCTTTGAGAATAATTAATATAATCATGTGAATCTGTAATATAAACTTCATTTAAAGTATTAAAAGCAGGTCTAATATATTTTACAATATCATTTATAATTTAAAATGTATTTCCATTTATTATTGTTTATTTAGTATTGTTACCTGATATCTTTAATGAATCATTTGAATATAGTGCTAAATTGATTACTGAAGTTCTCAATCCTTTTTCTAATATTCCATTTTGAACTTAACGACATCCTTATTCAGTTACAGTGATATCCATAGGAGACATTAAAGTAATATTAGAACACATATCATTAAAATTGAACCAATCATAATATTATTTATATGAATCAAAGCCAGTTAATGGAAACTATATAATTATATAATTATTACAGATTTATAAGATTCAAATACATCTCTCTCTGCATCATAAATTAAAGTATGATATGTTTATTACATCCAAACATTATCAATATTAATTGATTTCTATTATATTATATCTTCTACTCCATAAACTACTCTATACATCATTATATAATATCTTTAATGAGATAATTTCAAATGTTCAAATAAGAAATTTACATTATTTAAATAGATCACTTCAAGTACTAATTAGGTTACAAAAAAACCAGTAAATAATATAAAGAACAACATAAATTTGATAAGAGCTGAAGAATCATTCTTTTCATTAGATCTCTCTAATTTTTCTATACGTGTTCTTTCATCTTCAGTTAATTCTATTTCTTAAATATTATATTTGTGTTTCTTTTTCTTTTTATGTCTCAAATATCTTTTCTATTTATTTTCCTCTTCTTATTTCTTTCTTTTATCTTCTTCCTACTTCTCCAATCTTAATCTTTCCTTCTCTTCATCCTCTATTCTCTATAATTCCTTTTATTTTTCTATCTATTCCTTTTATTTCTCATCTATATGTTCTTCATTATTCATCTCTATATAATGTTTATCTTATTATTGCTACTATTTTTTATTATCCTCCTAATTTTTATTATTAATTCTATTCTCAAGTTCTTTTTTCTCATTAAAATCTTCAATATAGTCTTTTAAGAACTTTTCACATTTATCTGATAACTCTTTGATCTCTATAGGTGGTATCTAATAAAATTTATAATAAATAAATTACTAATCCAAACATACTCAATACTTTATTATTTGCTCTATCAACTTTTAATAAAATTGGTATAACAATAGCATGAGTAATAATCAAAATTATAATACTAATAATCATCAAAGCTAAAAATGTACCAAACTTACTAGAAATAAGATCTTAAAAAAATGTATAAATTTAATCTAATCTCTCAACTAATCCTAATCTTATATTTCTTAATCCATTATAATTAATATAAAAGAATGATTGCTAAGCAGGAGTAATATAATCATTGATCTTAAAATTCTTTAAATCAGTTCCAATCATAATTACTAAATGACTAAGTGCCTCTCTTATTGAATCTATTAATGCTAATTAAGTATCTTTAAATGAATTATCAATCAAAAGAGATGTAAAATTGTATTAATATTAAGTAGGTACATCTACATCAGATTTTTATAAGTCATTATTTACTTTTAAAGTATTAAATTGTAATTATTAAACAATTTTCAATCTTGTTATTAACTAATATTATATTATAATATTTACATCTTCTCTTAAAAATTATGGTGCAAATCCATTACTATTATTATATTCACCTGTTCCTATCATTTCCAATATTCTCGAATGCAAAGTAATTGTTGACATTTGATTTGTAATTGAATAAGAGTCTGATAAAATCTAAGAAGAATATTTAAAAGAAGTATTTTATATTCCTTTTAAAACTAAATCTACAATTGAAACAGTTAATAATATTAATGTTAATGATAACATAGTAATTTAGATTGTTCTAATATTTCTAGGTACTTTCTTTTCACTCATCAAAGCTTTAAAATCTTTTAATCTACGCATATCATCATTCAAACTAGATTAAACTGAATTAACTGATGATCTATCCTCATTTAAATAATCTTCATTAATTTATTAATCAGCTTTCTTTTTAGTAGCAGAAGAAGAATATTTACTTTATTTTGATTTCAATTTTATCTCACTTTAATAATAATTACCACTCTTTGATGCTTCTTAAAATGCTGTTGCTTCTGTAAATTTTAAAATGGCTACTTCTAAATCAGTGTATATTTGTTTCTCAACTGTACAACTAATCTTATAAACTTTGAATAATGATTCTTTTTTCACAGAAGATTTTAGATTTTCTGTTGTTCCATTCTGATTCAATAAATTATTATTATTATTATTGATTTCACCTTCATCCATCAAAGATAATCGATCAACTGAATCTTCCATTATAAATTATTTTTATAATTTAGTTGTATCTAATTAAAGTGGAAATGCTGTTAAAATATTTTCTTATGAAATTTTTAATTTTTCTACTAAATGATTAAAATCAAGAATCAAAATTTCCATATTAAAATCATTTGAATGAGCATTATTACCATATGCAAAATTGACAGGTATACCAAATGAATCTTAACAATTCTAACTCAAACCATATATCAAAAAAGTAGTTGGATTAAATAAGATATAATAATGGGAATCATAATTTTCTAAAATTTTAAAGAAATTAACCATTCTTAACCCTTTTTTCAATTATGGTAAAATCTTGAACATTAATAAACAAGGAACAATTGATCCATTTTTATGTTAACAATATACTGTTCTTTCTCTTCCTACTATTTTACTTTCATTTGTTTCCAAATATTTCAACATAAATTTATCATGATTATCAGCATAACATTTAGGCATCAGACGAGTAATAAATTAATTGATTAATTCATATTTATGATATCCTAATTTTTCAATTTCTTTATTACAACTCTATATCAATCCCAAAGATTTAGTTTCAGCTGAACATGTCATAATACAAGTATTACTATTTTCACCATACTTCTCTGTTTGTGTTTCATTTGAATATGCTAATTAAGCATTCTCTATTTAAGTTGCTTTCTCTAATATTCTTAAACCCAAATTATCTGCATTAATTACTTCATTTTAAAATTAACCAAAGATTCTTAAAGTATTAATATGATTAGGATTAATCTCTATTAATTTATCATATAATTCCTTTACATCTTCAACTGATTAAGTAATTTGACTACCTAAAGTAAATAACTTTTAGATATCTGGATTATTTTCTTATAATTCACACCAAAATTCATAATGTCTTTTAACAGATTCTTCTAAAAGATTTTAGAATTATCCATAATATTTTTGAAATTTAACAACTTGAAGAACATCAATAATAATTTCAGCCTTCTAATCCTCTTCTTACATTATCTCTTCAAGTGTATGTAAATCTCTATAAGATTGAAATTCTTCTTTTAATGAAGTTTCTAATGATTTTATATGTTATAGAGAATAATAACATTTGAATTTATTGTTTAATTTTTTATTCTAAATATATGATTATAATAAATGTAATTTACAACTTTTTGGAAATTTTACAATTGATAAATCAATCATTTAAATAATAAATTTGTACCATATTAAATCATCTAATTCCTTTGATTTTGATTCACTTAAATACTAACATTAACAATTTGTATTTTAACATGTCTCCATATGTTATACTAATATTCCTTCTAATAATAAATAGTTTTAGAGATTATCTCTACGATCAATAATGTATATAAGTTAATTAAATAGTTATTCATGTTAATTTGGATCACCTAATTTCTTTATTCCTTTTACTTAAAAATAATGATTCTTCTTATGACTAACTTATATTGCACAATAATAAATAAAAGGAATTGCTGCTAATATAAAGTAAAATCCAACTGTATCAGGTGCACCATCATCCAAAAATTTATGGAGCGTATAGCAAAAGGCCAAACTAAACTATATAACATCACAAGCTATTAAGTAATTGTATATATCAAGTTAAAAATGTTAAGGTTCATAAATTCTAAACATAAGCAAAATAAAATATAGAAATAGGATAAAGATTATATAAGTGTAAGGATTTTCAGCCTTATAATCAATTATAATGAATAACAGAATTGCACATTTAAATAAGATTTTCACATAATCATATCTATTTTAAGGTTATGCAAAAGGAACATCAGAAAATGGTCTATTATGTAATATATAATCTCTTACTTTAAATCTATGTAAAAAGTTGAAAAGTAATACTGAATTAAAAAGTATAATAATAATCCAATTGCTGCCATTACTGTATGAAGTATATAAACACCTGAATAACATTCCACACCATAACTATACTATGAATCTGGATAACAAATAAGAAAAACAAAGAAAATGTTGATAAAACAAACATGCAAAAATGAATTAAGAATTAATGCATAAAAACTTATTGCTTTAAATGAATATGACGTGATTGTCGTTATTTTTTTCTATTTTTTATAAATACTATCAATACTTTCTGTTTTACAAAGTTTACACCTAACCCTATAAGAAACAGCAATGTAATTTATAATCCAAAAGCTGTATAGAGTAAAATTATTGATTGATTTTAATCCATTGCATCTAATATGTATGTTAATTAAGAATATTGGATTACTTGTCTGAAATATTAAACAAACACAATATCTAATTCAAACTATAAGATTGGATGCATAACAAAATAGATCTACTCATATTTAATATTATATACATTTTGCATCAATTCAACAAAGACAAATAATTTATAGACTAGTGCAGAACATATAAATTAAGACATTGTCTCTTTCATTATTGCGTAACAATAAGTCTTAATGGTTATTTCCATTTATTCTAAGAAATTCATCAATCAAAAAAATTATTATTCAAATACTTTTCTAAAATAAAGTCAATGTATTCTTTTGACTTTAATTAATCAGAATTGGTTTAATTTCTTTGTCCTGCTTATGTCCAATATTATCATTAATTCATTTAAATAATAACTCACTAAACATGAACTAATTATTTTTTTAAGTAATATTTTTAATCATATTCTTATTTTTAGTAAAATTGCCAATTATCTAGCTTCATTTCTACAATATTTTAATATTTTTACCTTTAAAAAGTGGTAGTTTATTACAATGTCTTCCAATTTTTTTTTTGAAGATTAACATCAACTAAATGCGTTATCTCTTAACTCTATTCACTGATCAATTACTCATTATAATATTAAATTTATAATATATGAATTTTTTTTGATATCCAAAATACTCAATCAAATTAAATATTATAATAAAAATTCTATAATCTTAATACTTAGAACAACTTTTTCTGATCATTATAACACATATAAAATGAAAATTACATTTATCTTTTAACAACTACATTTGATAAAAATTTCTCATATTGCTATTAAATTTTAGAAATTAAACAACTACAATTTGAATTTATGAAAATTTTATTTATTTTTTGTAAAATGAAAAAAAGATTGAACTAAAATATTTATTTAATATTGATTTTAGATATTAATTGCATTATAATAAGAAATGTGTTAAAGAAGGCACAAATTTAATCTTAAAGTTTAATATTTATTAAAGAGTGAGATAATAACTAATATAAATAAAATAAGAAAATGTGAAAATAATAAAAAATACTTTGATAATTTTAATAAAAAAGTGTTAACAAAAATTAATATACTGAAAAGTAGAATTAATAAATATATAATTATGATTATATTTATGATGTAAAAAGTAAAAAAATATGGCAGATGTATTAAAATATTAAATCTAAAATTATCATTAGTATAAAATAATATTGTTTAAATTTTTTATTAATTGAATAAACTATAATAAATTAGTTTAAATTGTTAAACTTGAAAATACTAATGTAATTAGTCTAATATATAAAATATAAATTTAACATATGTTTTTGCATAATATAATAAATCAATCAAATATATAAATTAAGCATATTCAAATTATTTATGATAAAAATTATTTATAATGTTAAGTAAAATGATTAAATTATATATTTAATAGATTTATGTTATAACTTTTAAATAATGTAAAGAAATATTTTTGGAAACATGATGATTTAAATCAAGATAAGATTATCATTCTTCTTTTGCGTTTTTTTTTAAATCAACCAATATTTTGAAATTCAAATATATAAGTTAATTTATCATAATTATTTAATTAATGATTTCATAATTAATATTAAAAATTTATTTATATTTTTAATTCAAAATTTAATAATAATTATCATATAAATGTAAATCAATCCATGCTCTTGATTTTGATAGTATTCCTTAAAAAATATTTATATTCCGAAACATGGATGATTTGTGAGGCCAAATAGTAATGGTTGATAAATATTTTTTATTGTGTTCCACAAATTTGGATTAATTGATATATCATATAAATTTTGGTAAAATTTTTAACAAAATTTATATGATAGACTTGTTGTTATCATTTTATAACATTTATAAAATATTTTTTTTTAATTGTTTTTAAAATAATTATTAATTATTATTTAAATAATGAGTTTAAAAGAAAAATATTAATTTAATCAGATATGTAAATAATACATTAAAACTTCAAATAGCTAAAAATGAATCGAATGAAAATATTTAAAATTCAAATAATTAAGAGATAATTAATTATCATAACAATATATATTTAATTAACTTTAGGTAATGTTAAGAGAAATCAAACCATATTAAAAAAAGAGATACAAAGAATGTCTGATGAATAGTTCTAAGAAATTAATAAGCAAGATTTAAATTAATCATAAATCCCATTAATCTCAATAAAATATCCTTTTTTAGGAAGAAGTAATCAAGTTAAAATTCAACTTTATAACTAAATGGATTATCTTAGGAAACACTTTAAGTAAGACCTTATCTCAAATAAAATTTGATTAGGTCTATTTAAATCAAGATATAGGAATTGAAGAATTCTCCTATTCCTTAAAATTTGAATTAAATTTATCTTATTTAAATTGGACACCTGATTAATATATATAATTATGTATAATAACGAAATATTCTTATAGGCGCAAAAAAATGACAACCATAATAAATTCTAATTTGATTTACATAAGTCAGAGATGAAAAAAACATAATAAATTAATTGCTGGAAATATTTTAAAAAGTAGAACAAATAAATATATAATTATATGAAGTAATCATGTTAAGAAGAAAAAATGATAAAGATTATTCAAATTTATATAATTGTCTAACAGATGCATTAATTTAAGTTTTAGTTATTGTAATTTTTTAATTATACTCATTGTTGTTAAATATCTACTTTTTTATTGGATAATAAATTTATAGTAACCCAAGTTTTATCCAATAAATCTCCCTACACATAATTATTTTTCACTTCATCAAAATTAAATAACAGTTATGCTCTATCATACTTGCCATGGAGATAATTAGGTTTTTTTTAAATTAAAAATTACTTATTTGCTAAAGAATTTTAATTTTTAAAATTTGATTTAGTTTTATCTTCTAATTTTATTTCTTCCAATCCCTTTTACTATTCCTTTTCAACTTTATTGAATCCTTACTTCTATTATATTTCTTTTATTGAATGTCCACCTATTCCTTATTTATTGTCTTATTATTTGATAGGAGGATCTTAAATCATTTTTGATTTCATAGCCGATTAATCTATATTTATTTTTTCTATTTTCTCTTGTTATTTAATTTATTAAAGATCTTAATAATCTTATTAAGATTGAAAATCGATTTAGTATTTTTATTATTCCTCTTGAACCAAGTCATAAAGATAATACTATGTGCCATAAAGTTTGTTGCACTCTTTATATATAAAATCTAACAATTATATAGCTAGTTTTCTTTAGCCTAAAACACTTAAAGAAGCCAATACTCTCCTTAATCTTAACTAATTATGAGTATTAATTTGAAGACATATATTAAATTGATTTTTGTTCTCTAATTCTAACTTCTCATTATTCCATTTAATTCCCAAAAATCTTAAAAACATTTTGTAATTACTAATATAGAATCTCATAATCTACATTAATTAATAAATATTTAACATCATTATCTTCAATCATTTAATTTCTTTCTTCTATTGTTAATCTATAGCTATCAGAATTAAACATGCTATTAAAGAAATTAGGGAAGATCCACTAAATAAATGAATGGTCTTATTCTAAGTCTTTATAAAAATTTTTAATTTCTTTGCTATTTTCTTGATATTGATTCCATTTTTCAATATGGTAAAGAATATCCTTTTTTACACCATCCTTCCTAGTCTTATGAAAATCATAATTAGGTTATTTCAATTTTTTCAGCCCATTTTAATTCGATTCAGATTTAGATCTTTAATTGGTTATTTTAGCATCCTTATTCTGTTTCATATTGTATTAATAATATTTATAATAATTTTTGAATAAATTGAATTTAAATGAAAAATTAGATGATCAAGAAATAATATATTATTTAAAGTTATTCTCCTCTTACAAATACAGAAATATCTAAGATTGGCATAAATAAAATTCTTTGTCAGATTAATTATCAAAAATTAAATGCTTTTTTAATTAAGAATAACAAAAAAGGAATTAGATATCATATGTTTATTAATATAATTCTATATTATTATGATAGTTATATAAAGAAATCAAGTAAATTTTGTTAAAATAAATCAATATCTTGTATTATTTATTAAAATATTATAATTTAATAGTTTATGTTAATGTAAAATCAAATTATATTTTTTTTAATCTATTTAGAATTAAGATTAAATTGAAACCTAAATAAATTATTAAAATAAAACTTGATGGTCGAAAGATAATTACCAATTTTAGCTCTTTTTTTAGAATGAACAATAAAAATTGAAAAATTATATCATATATCAAATCAAGCTCTACAAATTAATGAAAGTGCTTTTTTATTATATATATATTTGTGATAAGAAGAATATTTGAAAAAATAGATTGAAACAAGAAAATATAATCATAAATTGTTGAAGGATTAAAACAATGAAGAAAAAGTGAAATTTAATATATTTTTACAAATATACTATTGTATTTCTATTTAATCAAATTATATATATTGATATATTCTTTTTTACCTTAATTTATTTTTACTTTAGACTTTAGAATTTAAATAATCATTAAAATGCTATAAAAGAAGAATTCAGATTCTGGTCATTCTACAATTTCTACTTTGCAAATTAATAGTTATTAATCAAGAGAAGTTTATTAGAATATTTTCTAATTATTAAATATTATATAATTGAAATATGTATGTACTAATTAATAAAATATCTTTATCAATAAATAATTAAAATGAACTTTAACAAATTGAATAACATAGAAACTAATGAACCCAGCATACGTAAGGTTTATTAGACCTCAATACAAGACTGTTGTTTATAATTATAATAAAGTATAGATGTAATATAATAAATTGATATTTATAGTCTTCATATAAAAGAATTGATGATTTCCTTGATTAGATTATTTATGATACTGAATAGTAATTTAATTAAAGATTTTAATCATCCTATGATTTTTAACACAATATTTCATTACCTTGTTTTTCGACTTAAGTAATTAATAGTTAATAATTTGGTCATTAACTTAGTGATTAAGTAACATCTTTAATGAAAATATCTATGAACAATCATCTAAAGAAATAATAGAAATGTCTTATTTAAGAATTGTAAAAATAAATCTAATAACTATAATCCGAAAAATAATAACCAATTCTCTAATCTTCTCCTGAATTAATCTTAAATCCAATCAATTATTAATTGTTACAGGAAAATTCTATTTAAGTAATAGATAAATGTCGTGCAATAGCTATCAATTAAGATTGTTCAATGGTGATTGTTGGATGTGGTAAAGTAATCAAATTATTTGAATTCAAATAAGAAGTATTGAAATAAACTTAAGTTTTAAATGAACATTAGAATAATGTATTTGCATTAAACTTTATGAAGAAATCTAAAGAATTTATATCTGGTAGTTATGATTCGTAAATTATTATATGGTCTATGAATGAATAAAATTAATGGGTTTGTAAATAAAAATTAAATTAACATAATGGTTGGATACTTTGTCTAATATTGAATAAAAATGAAGATATTATCATTTCAGGTAGTTAAGATAAAACTATTAAATTCTGGATGAAATAGAATTAATGGTTATGTTCATAAACTATTACAGACCATACTTCTCATGTATTTGGATTAAGCTTGAATAAATAATAGAATAAAGTAATTTCATGTGGATGTGATGATTAAATATTAATAATTGAACAATCTTAATAGGATTTTAAATGGATTGTTGTATAAAAAATATAGGTAAAGAAATATGGTTGTAGAATATGCTTTATAAATGACAATGTATTCATTTTTTAACCATATAGTGATCAATAATTGCATGTTTATGAATAGAATACTATTAATAAATAGTATTCAAAGATAAAAGATATAGATGTTAAAAGTGGAGCTGATTATTGGTTTTTTCCTATTTAATATATAAAATCAAAATGTCTAATTGTAAATAAGAATGGCAATTATGTGAATTTGATAAGGAAAATAAGTAATGGCGAATTTAGAATAGAATAGTAAATTGAATTTGGACATTTAGATTTATTTGGATGTATGAGTGATGATGGATAGTATTTAATTACTTGGGATTAAGGTTCAAAAGAAATTTAAATTAGAAAATACAATTAAATATAAATAAAATGATAAATTGATATTTTTCTGATAGTTGATAATTTAATTTATTATAGAAATGTTAGTCTACTTTTTAAGTTCCAAATTTTTAAAGTATTATAAGTTTGAAATAACATATATCATTCTTATTTGAATATTTACAATTTTAAAGCATTTAAGTATAATTTGAATTAATTTGGAATTCATTCTTCTGTTTAAATTTCGTTTAAATTACTTAATTCATAAATAATTTTTAATTTCAGATTTTTAAAATCATGTTTAATAACAAAGCTAATAGTAATATTCACTAAATTTAGTTTTATATTATTATTATTATTTCTAAAAAATATATTTTAGCTTCTGGCATTTAATAAAAAAAAAGCTGAGTCCAATTTGTTTTTCAAAGACTGAATGAGATTACTTGATTTATAGTTTGAAACATCGAAAAAAATAAATCATATCTTTTACTTTTAGAGCTTTTAACAAATTTGATTAACAATCATTCAAAATAAGTTTAGAAAAGCCAATGTCCCATTAAATAGGAATAAATCATCTGTTCCAGATATACATAATGAAATATTGCAAAAGTAGTAATGCAAATTTATTCCTCATATTAATTAGTATTTACAAAACAAATAAGTTTTTTTTAATAAAAAGAAAGTTTGAGATTTTCAATAGGTACTATTTGAAATAGAGTAAAAATGTCTTGAAAATTAATATAATAAGCACGTACTAATTAACTATTATCCAAATATCAACAATAAGTATAATAATTAAAAAGAATAAGAAAAATATAGGGATGAGAATGATACATTTTAAATTTAATTTTTTAGAAGTTATCTCAAAATAAGATTTTCTAACAGAAAAGATTTGTATCTAAATTAAATATAAAATATAAATTAGAAATTTTAGTAAGTATAAATCGATATAATAAGGATCTTATTAATTCATTTTAATGGAAACTACCCATCATTATGAGAGTACCTATTTGTTTTAATAATTTAATAGTTTTAAATTTTTATTCATCAACTAAAAAGATATTTGGAATATTTTTAGAGTATTATTAAAGAATTTAATTATTTTTTTGAAAACTTAATTATGCATATTTCTATAGGATGTAACAGATAGTTTATAGTAACCTTAACAAAAGCATTTAACGATTAAGCAATGGTCCGAATAAAAAATAAATAACAAACATTAAAAAAATGATGTAATTTATAGAATAATATTTCGAATTTTTTAACAAGCTTGTAATTTGAAATAAAATTGAATTCTAATTTAAATATTAGAATAGAAATTAAATATTTAATTTAAATTGTTTCCAATTCTATTTATATTTATAATAGAATTAACTATTTTTGCAATAAAATAATCACATTTTGATTAAAATAGACTTAAGAAATACATTTATATCTAAGAAAGTGCTAAACTTTTGTAATATTTTTCTATTTTAGAAAGTATAAAAATTTTGAGAATTTCTTATTTTTTTATTACTTCTTTCTCTTTTATGATCATCACTCATTTATATCACAATTAAAATTAAATCCTGATAGAATTAAGAGTTTATTCATAACCCAATAATCTAAGATTAGTTGATAATAATATAAATATGTCAGGTATTAAAGAAAATCAAAGTTTGTCCGATAAAGAAAATTAAACTATCCCATAAATTTTAAGTTAAATGAAGTTTGATGAAGATAAAAAGTTAATTTTACAAGAACAAATAAAGAAAATAGCAAATGCAGACAAAGTTATAAAATATCTTAAGGAATGCAATTAAAATTGGGAATAATTATAGATACAAATTCAGAAAGAGATTGTTAATTGTAAACAATCTGAATAATAACAGAAAATTTAAGAAAAATCATTGAATATTTAAGAGTTGATGAATATCTAAAAATAATTATATTAAAAAATAAAGAGTACTCTGGAAGTACATTAAGTCATCTAATATATATAATCAAAAAATTTAAGTAAAGATGTTATTAATAATGCTTTAACTAAATAATTTAATTCGATTAAAGAATTTTAATAATTAATTGAAAATGTAAATGTAGAAAACAAAGTTAACATGTCATAATCATTCTTTCAAAAAAATATTGAAATCCATAAGTAAAATACTCTAGAGTGGAATATTTAAATTTCAGAACTTTTTAAAGAATTTGAATCTCTAAATAAGAGAGTTGATTAAAATATCTTCTAAACACTATAATAATTATACAGATAATTTGGTTATCCAAAATTTTTTGAAAAATCTGATGACTTTTCTAAAAGTCCTTAATTACAGTTTGGAGATTTATTACTTTTATGTTCAAGAGTAAGATAACATTTTTCATATTATCCAAGACCAGTTCAATTATTATCAGTATTAGAATTATTTAATCATCATGATTAAAAAGGACGTTTAGCTTAGATATATACTGGAGAAGGTAAGACTTTAATAATAGCAATGCTTGCTATATTATTATGTAAAAAGAAAAACTAAAATGTGGATATTGTTACTAGTTCTCCTGTCTTAGCTATTAGAGATGCTTAAGAATTGGCTAAATTTTATGAATTATTTTAAATATCAGTAGCTCATAACATCCATGAATAATAGGAGTAGAAAAAAAATCAGATTTCATGTTATTAGTGTTAAATAATATACGGTGATCCTCATAGTTTCTAAGCTGATATATTAAGACATGAATA